AAATTTTGTCTGGAGTGCACCAGAAACATGTGGGAGACTTTGAAGTGAATGAGAGAAAGTTTTGTTGATCTGATGAGACCTAAATTGAGCTTTTTGGACATTAAACTAGGCACTATATGTGGTGGACAACACTTACTGAAGCATGGCGGTGGCATCATCATGTCTGTGTCGGCAGCAGGTCCTGGAAGGCTTGTAAAGGTAGAGGGTAAAATGAATGCAGCAAAGTCAAGGGAAATGCTGGAGGACAACTTGATGCAGTCTTTAGGAGAACTGCGACTTGGGAAGAGGTTTTTTTTTTCCCAGCCAGACAATGACTTGAAGCGTGAGAAGCTGAGAGTGATCAAGCAAGACAGAGACTAGTGAGGGAGGCCACGGAGACAGATTCATGACATTTTAAACCAGTGAAGCTGAGATTTCTGTTGAAAAAAGAGACACGAAAGAATCTGCATGTGATTGTGCCGTGCGAACCGGGGCGACGGTCTTCTTGTCTCCCCACTTTTACGCCTCACCTCCCTCACAACCGACACATGACGGCGTTGAGCGTACTGTAGGCCTGGCAGAGAGGGGCAAAGAGAAACAGAGAGGCAGAGAGGAAAAAATCAATAGCCATCGACATGCAACACTGCATCAAGACTGTTACTGCCCAGAGAGAGAGAAAAGGCAGCGACGGAGAGGCTATTGTGCGCGATTGGAGGGCAGAGAAAGCGAAGGGAAACAGAGGGCCGACGGTGAGACGAGGGTTGTAATTGAGAGAAAAGATCCATTCGATATAAGCAGGGAGGAAAGAAAGGAGAGTGGCAGATGAAAAGGAGGATTTCATATAAAGAAGGAAGGGGCAATTAGAGGGAGGCAGGAAGAAAAATGGGGAGAAATAAAAGAAGGAGCGAGATATGAAAAGGAGGCTGTAAAGGAGCTGTTAGAGAAGATGAAGGGGAAGTGAAAAGAGGATGTGACAGGCAGCGAGGCTGAATTATTTTGTGATAGTAAACACGTTTCCAAGCAAAACATCGGGGCGCCTGTAAACACAACGCCGCCTCATTGCACTGTAGCTCCGTAGTAATTGTCCTGAAATAGCCGCCGTGTGTGTGTGTGTGTGTGTGTGTGTGTGTGTGTGTGTGTGTGTGTGTGTGTGTGTGTGTGTGTGTGTGTGTGTGGTATCATGTAATATGTCGGTGCTGTTGTTGTGTGCGTCTCGCCCTCTGGCTCAGGTGTCTTTTGTAATGAGATTCGTCAGCCGTAACGAGACACAATAGAGCAGATAACTGGGATATGAAGGAGGCACGTCGTGTTAATGCCTGAGAATAAAAAAGGACTGATGCCGACGTGTTAAGTTTCCTTCATCACGTGATAAAATGTCCTGAGTGTCATAATAGTGAACGCTAAAAGTATCGTGAGCTTTTTCTCCAACAAAAATAAATGAGAAACAGCACATTTAAAGTTCCCCTTCAGTGAAAATACAGTTTTTAACATTTACTGTCAAAATAAACATTTTTTAAGAGTTTTTAGCTGCAATTTACTGTTTTTTTAAAATGTATTTTTAAGGGAAATTACAGAGAAAAGTATTATTTTACACATTCACAGTAAAAATACACAAACCAAAACTGTACACATCAAAATTCTATTTATTTAGAAATGCTAATTATTCCTTTTACTACATTTACCTTTAAATTACACTGGTACTTACACATATTAACTTCTATTTTATAGATTTTCCAGTTGCAGCTGCAGTTTTGTTAAATTACAGATAATAACTAATAAAATCACAGAAAATAAAAATACAACTTTGCATGTTAACCATACAAAAAAAAAAACAGGTCAAACCTTAATTATACTTAAAAAAATCAATATTTTTTTTAAAATAAATTGTAATTCGTTCTTGGACATCCATTGACCATAAACTTACTTTTTTTTTTTTTTTTTTTTAAGTTATATTTAAATAAGCAAGAATATTGTCATTTTCCAGATATTTGCTGTTTTTCGACAGAGAAGTATATTTATAAAGGATTGTAAAAACAATATTTTATGTGGTTATTTTTTTACAGGTTTTTCTTTTATTTTTTTTGTTCGACAATATCTTGCAAAATCCAGGAAAACAAATATTAATTTACATGTTGATTTAAAAAAAGAAAATAAACAAAAACAACACAAAACCCATTCTTGTTACTGCATTTGAATCAGAGAAAATAATTTTTACTTCACAGATATTTAATGTCATTTTTACAGCTTTTTTTTACAACGTGTTTCACCTTTTTTATTCTGACACCCTTACTGCCAGATTTCTTTACAGTATATATCTTTTAATGTGTTCTGTCACACTTGCACATCATATTTATCCAGTTTGGAGTCTATATTTCTGTGAGAAAAGTATGTGATGGGGAAAAAAGGTTGAATTGATCCCAGCTCAGTGTGGACGTAAACTAACACACAACTTAACTTTTGTCCATATCTCGGGCTTGTTGGCAACTTTTTAAATAAAAAGCGAATAAACCTTATTTTTACAGGAGGTCCCAGTCGACGCAACAAGAATTATTTGGAATAACGATAACATTAATCAGACTTGGGGAACAAACAGTCCAATGCAGGTTGTGTCCTGCTGTCTTCTCTGTAATCAGTAAACCAGACCAAACCACACACAGCCCAGTATCAGTAGAACGCTGAAGCTCTGTGCTGCTGTCGCCTCTTTTATTGTTCCAAAGGTCACTTTCTGCAGAGTTTTTCTTAAACTACAATATTTTTCTATTCTGTCCCCTCCCTTATCTCCTTGCCACCTGCTCAGCATTGTTCTTAAAGGAACTAGTTTCTGTTCCTTTAAAGTTGCCGTCTGTAATAATATCCGTTGCGTTCCTCCGTCTTCTGTGTTGCAGGACGGCTCATGCGCAGGGAAAAGCAGAGGCGGCGGTGGGAGCAGCTCAGAAAGCCCAGGAGGAGAGTCGCATGGCCCGGGTCACCGCCAAGCAGTTCTCCCCTTCATTCCAGCACCCAGGAAACGGTGGGCGATCACATAAGCTCGCTAAAATCACAGCACACGGACACTGTAGTGCAGCACACGTCCTCATCTGCAGCTATGAACTGAAGTTTCCATACACTTGGCAGTCTTGAGTTCCCAGTGACTCCTATAACTCTGAACTGTCTATTTTGGAATCACTGTGACACATGAGTCTTTGTGACTAAAACACTATCAGGCATTTTGGTTCTTTTATAGATTTATTATAAGTCTTCTGGGATTATGACATAATCATGTTGGGGTACTGCATCAACAATATACACACTTGAGTTACCAGGTTTGGTGATGTTAAAAGTTGTTAAATGTTCTTTGTCACATGGCCTCCTAACTTCTTATACAGTTGACTACAGCTGCTGACTCCTCTGAGACGGTTTATATAGGAC